GACACAGCCCCAAAGCAAACTCCAGCGACAGGCGGCCCGCGATCTCCCCGCGATCTGTTCACTGCTCTCCCGATGACACCCCGGGACTCAAACCGCTTCCAGGCGGCGTCGGATTCCATCCCAGCCCGCTGCTTGTCCAACTCCTGGACCTCATGCCAGCGGAGCGCACCTGGGCTGCCAACAAAGCCCCCTCCAGCCCTCTGGCGAGCGAGCTTCCCGCCCCCATCCTCCTCCTGCCGGTTTCTCCAACCCAGCGGGGTTCAACCACCAGAGCTGCTGGAGCAGACTCAAACCGCTTCCAGGCGGCGTCGGATTCCATCCCAGCCCGCTGCTTGTCCAACTCCTGGACCTCATGCCAGCGGAGCGCACCTGGGCTGCCAACAAAGCCCCCTCCAGCCCTCTGGCGAGCGAGCTTCCCGCCCCCATCCTCCTCCTGCCGGTTTCTCCAACCCAGCGGGGTTCAACCACCAGAGCTGCTGGAGCAAAGGCAGCAGGTTCCGTAAATCCTTCCCTTTCTGCTCCCTGGCTGCAGCAGCCCCGCTCAGCCCCAAGGGCACAGACACAAGCAGGAACGGGGGAGGGGGCGGATGCTTTGGATTTTATTTGCATGCACCAATCTTAGCAGGGCCCTTGGTAAGTTCCAAGGACTCTGCTCTTCTAAGTGTGGCCAGGCCTGTTCCTAGCTGGCACCCCCACTGGGGCCCTGCTTCTGGCTAGCTGCTGTCTCCACCTTCCAGCGAAAATCCAGGCGGGTGGACTTCGGAGCCAAAAAGTTCACCAGGAAAGCACAGAACTGCAAGGGCTGGGTGTAAGCAACTGAGCTTGGAAAGGGAGCCTGCGGAAAAGCCAACAGGGCACATGTTAGAGGCCAGGCCTGCTTTTGCTACTGTCTGAAAAGGTGACACTCCCATTTCACTGCAATGGCTTTGTTGAATGGTAGAAACAAATGAACCTGGGCGTGGGGGGGTTGACCCTTTTAGTGTTCCCGGACTCGTCTGCGACACCAGTGCGCTGACATTCCAGAAGATTGGTTGTGTGTGGCAGAAGCAGACACACGACATAGCTGAGAAATCTCTCTCTGGTGGTATGAGATTTCAGGGGCAAACCCCACTTCCCCAGATGAGCAGAGTGGAAAAGGAACTCATGGTAATATAGATATTTGTTCCCATCTAAGCCCTGCTCCACACTAGGGACTTATTTTGAAATAACTCCCCTTAGTTTGAATTTGTAAGTGGGACATCCACACGCCCAAGCCTGTTAACTAACAGGCCGCTTATTTCAAAATCTGAACCCCTACTTTGCTGGGGGAAGAGCGCTGATTTTGAAATAGCGGCCGTGTGGACACTCTGCTGCTGCTCTTTCGAAATAACTGCTCCCCAGAGTCAGTCGAAGTAATTACCCCCCCCTGCTTTAAGTCGTGGTAGCGCGTCCCGTGAACAGAGCCTGCCTCAGACTCCTTTCGAGGCTTCTCCGTAGGTGGACACCCCAGTTTGATTTTGTCATTTCAGGAGTTACTAAATTGATTTTAGTTATTTCGAAATAGTTTCCTAGTGTAGCCCTAAAGGGCTCCAGGGCTGTGTCCAGACTCAGGGGTTTTTTCGGGAAAAGTAGCCTTTTCCCGAAAAAACTTCCCCTGCATCCAGACTCATGGCGCGTTCTTTCAAAATTATTTCGAAAGAACGCGGCTTTTCTTTCGATGGCGGTAAACCTCGTTTCATGAGGAAGAACGCCTTCTTTCGAAAGTTCCTCTTTCGAAAGAAGGCGTTCTTCAATGTAAATAGGGCTTCCTCGAAAGAGAGCATCCAGACTCGCTGGGTGCTCTCTTTCGAAAAAGCGGATTTCTCTTTCGAAAGATCCGCCTGCAGTCTAGACGCGATCTTTCGAAAGAGGCTCTTTCGAAAGAAGCCTGCAGTCTAGACATAGCCCAGGAGTAGCTGTTGTTTTTAAAGTGACAGACTTGAGACTAAATATCTAAGGATTTGATATGGCTTCTCTATGGCACATTGGAGGATGATTTCACACACACACACACACACACACAACAGAGAGCACAAACATCACAGCTGTTTGCGGCCAGAAGGGCCCCTTCTGATTGGCTCCTTTGAGCACCCCTGCCTGGGAGGCGCCACCTGCTGTTTGGATGAGGGGTGCGTGTGCGCCTCACCCAGTGGGCCCTGGCCCGGCCCTTTCGTGCTGCTGCCCGGCCAATGCTCTGAGCGAACTGGATGCGAGGTCCCGCACCAGCCGCTTGCCCGGCTGCGCCCAAGCCCCTTCCTGCAAAAGGCTGGCGCCGGCTGCATTGTGTTCACCCAGCAGCATCCCAGGGAGCAGGGCTGCCTAGCAGCGGCCTCCCTTCCCACCTGGGGAGCAGGAAGCCTCCCCCTGCAGGCTCCCCAGCTGCTCCTGCATGGGGGCAGGCCCCTGCTCTTTGCTGGCAGATAACTGTGGTGGGAGGTGCCTTTGGGAGCCTCTGGGATGCAGGTCGCTAATGGATGACATGGGGATGGGGCAATGTTCCCAACAACCTTTTTCATCCATGTGCAGAATGCATTTTGTTCTCTGCACCGAGGCATGTGTGAATGTGCACCACCTGGAGAAACACAGACCGAGCTGTGGGCGCTCTGCCAAGCAGATGGGCAGCCCTGGAATCTCTCCTGAGCGGCCGCAAAAGGGCCCAGCATACAGGATGGAAGGACGGGGAGTCCTACTTCTGGCCCATCTCCCCATGTGACACCTGAGTTTCAAACGTGCGGAGCCCCTGCGACTTGTGCAGGATTTGTCCATGTTCAGGGCCTCTGACTGTCCGGGGGCTACTGCACCCAGAGGGAGGAAGCCAGAGCCAATTCTCTCGTGTCCCACTTCCCTGTCCCAGGCCTGGGCTGCTCTCCCCATGCAAATGCAAACCAGGCAGGGGAGGCAAAGGCCAATGGCCCCACCCAGGAAGGAGGGACCCTGCCCCCACCTTTTCTACGGCTGGACATCACAGAGCAGGCGCGGGGTTGCTCCCAAACAGAATCTCATTGGTGTCTTCTCTCTTCCCGTCTGCCGCCGCAGGGCCCTGGGAAAGCAGGAAGGAGCAGAAAGTCAGTCCGGCTGCAGAGCGCAGGGGCACGTCCAAGCCTGGCTCCTCACAGCAGCCCCATAACGCTCTAGGCTGCTCTCTGACAGGAGCCGGGGGGAGGACAAACAGGAACCATCTGCAGTTCGGGGCATGATACCTGCTTGGAAACGCCAGCCTGGCCTCCCCGGAGACGGAGCACGGCCCCCGAGTGCCCAAGGGGCGGCAGGGGGATCAGCCAGGCTGGCGACAGGAAGCTACGGCCTGGCGGAGGATGAGAACATGGGCACATGATGCAGGGGCCAGAGGGAGGCGAAGGGAGAGGAAGGGGCTGGACCACAAACAGCAAGATGCGTCCTCCCAGCATGAAACAGAGAAGCCGGCAGGGCAGGTGCCAGTCCTAGAATCATGGGATTGATGGTCTAGTCCATCGCTAGGTCTAGTCCAGGCCCCGGCACCAGGGGGTCCGGTAGCCTAGGCAGGGGAAGGCTTTGCCTTCCCAAACCGCCCTCCTACACCCCTCCCCCAGAGCCCCTGCTGTAGGCATCCTTGGGGCGGAGTATTGCTTCCCCCAGGGCCCGCCCTCCCAGTGCTCTGGGCAGGGAGGCTGGAACCGCACGGTCTCCTCCCTCTCTGGTTCTCCAGGGCTGGGGAGCTGGGGCTGTGCCATGGCCCCTCCTCCCTCCCCCCGTGTTCCGAGGCTGGGGCCGGGCCATGGCCCCTCCTCCCTCCCCCCGTGTTCCGAGGCTGGGGCCGGGCCATGGCCCCTCCTCCCTCCCCCCGTGTTCCGAGGCTGGGGCCGGGCCATGGCCCCTCCTCCCTCCCCCCGTGTTCCGAGGCTGGGGCCGGGCCATGGCCCCTCCTCCCTCCCCCCGTGTTCCGAGGCTGGGGCCGGGCCATGGCCCCTCCTCCCTCCCCCCGTGTTCCGAGGCTGGGGCCGGGCCATGGCCCCTCCTCCCTCCCCCCGTGTTCCGAGGCTGGGGCCGGGCCATGGCCCCTCCTCCCTCCCCCCGTGTTCCGAGGCTGGGGCCGGGCCATGGCCCCTCCTCCCTCCCCCCGTGTTCCGAGGCTGGGGCCGGGCCATGGCCCCTCCTCCCTCCCCCCGTGTTCCGAGGCTGGGGCCGGGCCATGGCCCCTCCTCCCTCCCCCCGTGTTCCGAGGCTGGGGCCGGGCCATGGCCCCTCCTCCCTCCCCCCGTGTTCCGAGGCTGGGGCCGGGCCATGGCCCCTCCTCCCTCCCCCCGTGTTCCGAGGCTGGGGCCGGGCCATGGCCCCTCCTCCCTCCCCCCGTGTTCCGAGGCTGGGGCCGGGCCATCTTTAGCCCCCCTGCTGCACCACTGACTGGGAGCTGCTTGAGATAAGCCCCTCCTGCCCCAGCCCAGACCCCACCCCCCCCAAAGCTGGAGCTCTCCCTACCCCCAAAGCTCCTCCTCAGTCCTACCCCGGAGCCCACACTCCAGTCACATGATATTGGGTTGCGGCATCGACCATTTTCTTCAAGTGGGTCACGAGAAAGAAAGGGTTAAACCTGCTGAGCCAGCCCATCCCTGACACGTCAGTGTGCTCCTGTCTGTATGCCTTGGCGAGGGGCTGATCTGCTTAGCCGGTTAACTGGGATCCCATAAGGGGGACCCGCAGCAGGAGCTGGCAGTCCCAATGCTGGGGGAGACGGCGTCTGCTCCTGGTCCCCCTGCACTTGGGTCTGCCACTGGCTCCCCCCAAGCGTAGGGGTGGTGGCAACAGAAGCCAGCAGTCCCAAGAGCAGGGGGAGGAGGTAACTTCTGCTCCTGGCCACCCCTGCACACGGGACGGAGGCTCTTGTTCCCAACCCCATCATGAAGGGTGATGCTTACCAGGTACCCAGTTACCCATCAGCATCCCTGGTGCAAATCCCCCCAAATGGCGTTTTGCATGAGCAATGAGCTGCTGCAGGCACAGGCTGCTGTCTGAAAAAGCCATCACGGTGCCTCATTATCCCCAGTGAAACCAGCCCCCAGCTCTGCAACAGCCTTTGAGATGAAAGGCGCCGCACCAGGGCAGAGCCTCCTTAGATCGGAACAATCCTTCACAAAGACAAGGACGGGAACAGAGGGTCTAAAAATACATTGAGCTGGAGCAGGCGGGAGCTTTCGCCCAGCCCAGAAGGGAAATAAAAGTTTGATCCTCTCCGAGGCAAAACCTCCCTTTGCAGGGATAACGCTTTGAAGGGATGTGGGGGGATATTTTTGCAAGGATATTCTTCCCATCTGTGACATACAATGTACGAAATACCTAAAAGCCGCCATTTCCAGTGGGGACAGGAATAGTTACCTTGTTAAAACAGGGCCACTCACGCACGGCCTGGGCTGGCCAATGGGCACTGGCAGCCTCGCCGCTGATGCTGGAGAAGAAGTGGCCGGTGATTTTAACCCTTCACTTGCATGCCCCCCAAGTTCTTACTGACTACAGCTGGATAGTCTCAGAGGGGGAGGCACGTTAGTCTGTACCTGCAAAACCAACAAAGAGTCCCGGGGCACCTTAAAGACTCACAGATTTATCAGGGCATCAGCTTTGGGTAAACTCCACTTCGTCAGATGCATGGAGACAATGCGTTTTTTACAGATGAAAGCTGATGCCCTGATAAATCTGTGAGTCTTTAAGGTGCCCTGGGACTCCTCGTTGTTTTTGGAGGCGACTAGTTACGTAGAATCTGGCCCAGTATCTCATAGTTGAAAGAAGGACCAAAAGGTTCCCTGATCCCTGATCCTGGTCTTCAAAAAGACCTTAAAGCAGAACAACCATACCAAAGCAAACCTAGGGTCTTTAAATACATTAGGAGCAAAAGGAAGAGGAAGGAAAGTGTAGCGCTTGGAGGGCACAGCTACACAGCGGCGTTATTTCGGGATATCTGATGTTATTCTGAAATCACATTGTGCGCGTCTACACGGCAGGCTGTTATTTCGAAATAATGGAGAGCAGGAGGACTTCTTACTCCAACTCCTGTCACCCCCATTTCACAAGGGCTACGTCTTCACTGGCATGATTTTCTGGAAATGCTTTTAACGGAAAAGTTTTCCGTTAAAAGCATTTGCAGAACAGAGCGTCTAGATTGGCACGGACGCTTGTCCACAAAAGCACTTTTTGCGGAAAAGTGTCCGTGGCCAATCTAGACGCGCTTTTGCGTAAAAAAGCCCCGATCACCATTCTCGCGATCGGGGCGTTTTTGCGGAAAACAAATCTCAGCTGTCTACACTGGCCCTTCTGCGCAAAAGTTTTGCGCAAAAGGGACTTTTGCCTGAACTGGAGCAGCATAGTATTTCCGCAAAAAGCACTGATTTCTTACAGTAGGAAGTCGGTGCTTTTGCGGAAATTCAAGCGGCCAGTGTAGACAGCTGGCAAGTTTTTCAGAAAAGTGGCTGATTTTCCAGAAAAACTGGCCAATCTAGACACAGTCCAGGAGGAAGAGAAGCCGGAGGAAGAGTGTTCACCCTTTGACTTCCTGCTGTGTAGACAGCGCCAAAAGCCAAACGAAGTTATTTCGACTTCAGCTACGCAATTGACGGAGCTTAATTCGACGTGAGCCTTGCTGTGTAAACATGCCTGGATCTAGTATGGAAGGAGAGCTAATCATTGATGGTATCAAGACAGCTGATGTTTTTAATGCCTAGTCTATGTCCAGTCCTCACTAAAAAGATTACCAGCGACCAGCTACTCAACACACTATTGAAAAGGAGGATGCAACGCAAGTCAAACCAGAGAAAGAACGGGTTAAAGACAAGTTAGATGTGGTCAAGTCAGCAGGGGTTGATTAAATTCATGCTTGGGGGTGTGAGGATCTAGCTGAAGCCATCTTGAAAATATTAGCCATTATCTTCAAGAACTCATGGAAGAAAGGTAAAGTCCCAGATGACCAGAGAACAGCAAACTTAGCACCTATCTTTAAAAAGGGGAACTAAGAAGACTTTAAGAATCAGAGACCAGTCGGCCTAACTTCAACACCCGGCAGGGCACTGGCCATCAATTTGTAAGCAGCTAGAGGATAATAATAAAAGAGCAGGTTAAAGAGTGGAATGCATTTTGATGTGTGCACTAATATAGAGGAGACGTGCGACACGATGGGGACGTGTGACATGGAGGGGTGTGCGACACATCACCATCATATCGGTGCACATAATACAATTAATGTGGGGGGTGGGCCAAGGGGTTCTGAGTGTAGGAGGGGGCTCAGGCTCGGGGCAGAGAGTTTGGGTGCAGGAGCGTGAGGGAGTGTGGGCTCTGGGGTGGGGCTGGAGGCGAGGGGCTCAGGGACAGAGGGTTGGCGTGCAAAGGCTCTGGCTGGGGGTGCAGGCTCTGGGGTGGGGCTGGGGCAGAGGATGGGCTGCCTGGGTATGAGGGGAAGCTTAGGGCCAGGCTGTGACAGGGGCCTCCAGGGAAGGGGGGCTCAGGGGCTGGGTTGCTTCAACTCAGGGGAGTCCAAGAATGGGCCACAGTGGGGGGGAAAGGAACGGGCCACTCTGGCCAGGGTAGGGGAGATCTGGGGCCAGGAAGCCTTTCTGGGCTTCTCTGACTGCGACAAGGGAACTTTGAGGCCACCCGGTGGCAGGTGTAGGGCTAGGGCCAGTCCACTCAGACTGCAGTGTCATAGTTGCGATCCCTGCCCAGCCACCAGGCTGCAGGCCAGATTGGGGGGTGGGGGGGCGGCCCCCCTCCATTGAGGCCCTGCCCAGAGCTAGCTAGGAAGCTGCTTGGCCACACTGCTTCCAGGGAACCAAGGTTAAGAGGAGACTTGCTTCATCTAAGTATCTTGGGGGACAACGACAAATATTTGCTAATGGCTGTTGCCAACTCTGCATTTCTGTCCTAACGCAAAATCAACCATCATGGGTGAAAAATTGTTCCCAGCTCCATTTCCACTCTCCCTCTGGGGAGCACAGACCCTGGGAGTAACTTCTCGGCGGGAAGGCTTCCCGGGTGACGACCCAAAAGATACTGCTGCTACCGTGCCCACACTGACTCTGCAGCACAGTGAAAAGTGACCGTGCAGCACCTCAGGAGCCCACTGACCTGGCAGGAGACAGAAGCCATTTCCTCCAAGGCCAGTGCTCCCTCTGCGGTGTCTTTGGAGGTACTGGCTACCCAGCTGGAGTCAACAGCATCCTTGTCGCCCGTGGTGCTGTCCAAGGTGCTGAGCAGCTCAGCTTGGCCAAAGCAAGTGGCTTCTTCGCTCTCGGTAGTTCCCCTGCCCTGGGCTGCGGATTCAGCTGGGATTTCAAGGGCATTTTCCTTGGCATTACTTTGGAGGGCAAGAGGTGGGGCGACCATTTTCCCGGCGTTGGCAGACAGGCCAGCTTCCAAAGCTGCGTCCAAAGCGGTAGCATTTGAGGGCCCATCTGGAGCAGCTGCGTCCTTCTGAAAAGCAAACACCAGGGAGGCAGGGAGAAAAGTTCTAGGGGAAATGCTCCCATGGGGAAGGCATTTAGATCAGCTGCCTGATAGAAACATTGTCAAACCACAGCCCTGCTTGGGGCTGGCAGAGGGCCCAGTGGCCCGACTGGGTTTTTTCTGTCTCAGACAGCGACAGCCACATGTCAGAACTGTGCTGCTTCCCCAGGTCCAACGACACCATCTATCAGTGGAACAAGGGCAGGCCGGGGGCCGGATTTCATGAAACCCCTGCATTCCCTCAGACCAACAGCTCCTCTAAAGCACTTTCCTGAGAGCATGGGGAGCGTTACAAGCCGGTCCCCAGAGAGTCCCAACCAAACTCCCCTCTGATTTTTCATATTGGTGTGTGGAATAAATTTTCTTATGTGCACCAAGGTGCATACACCCCTACTAGAAACACCTGCTGCCGGCTGGGGGTGCTCTGCTAATAAGCTGGGTGGCATTTGACTCTCTCCTGGGGGTGACCACCCAAGTGCCTGGCCTACAGGGAACACTGGTTGCAACCACCATGTTGCTAAATGGGGGGGATCCTGGTAGGGAAAAGATGAGGGCCATGGGCCTACGCCACCTACCAGGGATTGCATAGCACAACGACGTGTCACCCGTGCCTGGCCAGGCACACCCGCCTCACTTGTACCTCACGCATGAGGGCGTCTCTTTGGCTTGGGAGAGGTAGATCCCACAGCAGCAAGTGTGCATGGTGGGTCTTCCCCATGACAGGTGCAGCGATCAGCCATTACCTGCTGGGCAGTGCCTGGATTGCCCTCGGATCCCTCTCTGCTGGCCTGCCCATCCGCAGCGTGCGCTGCGCCCCAAAGCTTAGCCTGCCCATCAGCTTCTCCAGCCACCTCACTCTCCGCCTCCTTGAACGTCGGGGGTTTCCTTCTTGCACAAGACGTTTTTGCGCAAAAACTCTTGCACAAAAGGCTTCTTGCACAAAAACCTGCAGCATAGACTAAGCCGTAGGGTCCTAAAAATGTTTAGAACCACCCAAACCTTGCCTGAGTAACTCAGTTCCATGTTTCTGTCGTGGCTATTTACGACGAATTGTAGTAACTTCTTATATTAGCTTGGGAGGAAAGGGTAATTGGTGCCTGTGGAGAACGGGGTGCAGGGAGGGCCACCCAGAGGGGGGGCGGGAAAGCAGGAGCACCCCATTTAGCAATGACCATGGTGGCGGGGCGTCCGGGTAGGGCGCACCTCTCCAGTGGTACCACGAGTCACAGAGGGCCCTGGCACTGGGACAGGGCAGAAGGGAAGCAAACAGCCCCTTTTCCAGAGGGGCACAGACACCCACATTTCACAGACACTGGCCGGCCGCTGGCCTGTCAGCTAAGGAAGTCTCCGGGAGACACCTCGGGCCATCCATGGTGAAAATACCTGTCCCTCCCCCCGCAGTGGGAAGAGCCAAATGCAAATGGGGATTCTGATGACAGGGAAGGAGCTGAGGGGATTCCCAATCCCCGCCCCAAGGAGCTTTGGGGCAGGCCCGCCGACAGGAGGGGCAAAGGAGGCTGTTGCCCTGAGCCCAAGCAATTTAAAGGGGCCTGCGGTTTCCGGCTGCTGCTGCTGCTACTTTGGCAGCAGCAATGGGAGCTGGCGTGTTGGGCTCTTTAAATCACTGCTAGAGCACCTTGCCGCATGCTTTGCGTGACTCAGAGCGGGGGGAGCGCACTGCGCTCTGGGTAGCACTGAGCACTGGCTGCCCCAGCCCCGCCCCTTCTACTCAAGGCCACACCCCTTCTACTTGTTGCCACGCCCTTTCCCCTGGAGGCCACACCCCCTCCACCAGATGGCACGCCCCCTTCTGGGAGTGTGGAGCCAGGCCCCCATATACACCTTGCCCAAGGCCCGTGGAGGCTGTCAGTGCCCCTGCTTTGGGGTCGGAGTAAGCCAGGCTGGATTTCTGTACCCAGAATGAAATAGGAGCCTGATCCCAAAGCCCCTTGTGGGGAATGGGAATCTCTCCCCTGACTTCAGTGGGCTGTGGATCCAACCCTGGGTGCTCTTCCCTTAGGGGGAAAAGGTTCCCCAAGTGAACACAGCATGCAGAGACCCTGAGGTGCTGGTTCTGGGGCATCCGACACCAGGTCTCTCAGTCTTCTCTAAGCACCAGCTGCCTCCCTCCCTCTCTCTGTCTCCTTCCTGAGACACGCACCCAACGGGCCCAGCCCTGCCTCTCCAGCACATCCAGGGCAGGGAGGGGCGAACCCGAAAGAGGATCCGCCTCCGGCCTCTGCTAGGTGCAACCGAGACACTCCCAATGCCAGGGAAAGGGCTCTCCGCTTCTGCCCAACACGAAGGCAGGAGAACAGCTGGATTCCGACCCCCTGGCTCCTCTCCAGGAGTGCGCCTGAAATCAGTGACCAGTGAAACGGAGAAGGAGGCCGAACGGGGACACGAGAGGCGTAAGAATCAGGAAGGGTTCTGTGCCAGCGCAAGCAGCCCCCAGCATCGCGGTGAGCAGGCAGCCAGGCCTGAAAACCCTCTTCTCCCAGGCCCCTGCTTCTGGCCAAGCCAAGCCGCCTTCCTCACCTTTAATGAAGTCCAGCTGATAGAGGACCCGCTCCTCGGCATTGAAGTCCACCGCATAGTGCTCCATGTTGTCATAGCCAGCCTCCAGCGGCTCCACCTCACGGCTCTGGGTCACCTCGGCTATTCTGGGCAGGGGGGAAGGAAGAGATGACCCTGGGTGGATCCAGTCGCTCTGAGAAACAGGGCTCCAAATGGGACGGTAAAACCGGGAAGTTCTACTTACTTCTGGACGAGGACTTTGGCGTTCTGAGAAGCCAGGAAAGGCGAGACGAGAGGGGATTTTACGGGAACAGGAAAAACAATCAAAATCAAAACTTGTGGGGAACTTATGGGGGTGGTGTGAAGGACACACACACACACACACACACACACACACACACACACACACACACACTAGGTGGCATGCCCATCCTGCTCCCTCTAAGACAGTGTTTCTCAACCAGTGGGACGAGTACTCTTAGGGGTACTTGAGAGAAGTCTGGGGGGTACCTCAACGCAACTGAAACGTGGAGAAAACTTAATTTTTGTTGTCAGTTTTACAGCACTTTATTATTTTTGTACTTTTTACACCCGAAAATTTCATCACCCGCCCGGCTACGATTAAGTTGTTTAAATAAATGTGTGGCAATGGTAGAGAAAATGTGTGTGTCTGAAAACTGTAGGTACTGGGGGCACTTACAATTTTTTTTAAAGGGGTACTTTATAAAAAACGGTTGAGAAACACTGTACGAGATACATGCTGGCTACGTCTAGACTGGCATGGTTTTCCGCAAATGCTTTTAACGGAAAAGTTTTTCCGTTAAAAGCATTTGCGGAAAAGAGCGTCTAGATTGGCACGGACGCTTTTGCGCAAAAGCACGTTTTGCAGAAAAGCATCCGTGCCAATCTAGACACGGTTTTGCACAAGAAAGCCCCGATCACCATTTTCGCCGTGGGGGCTTTTTTGCGCAAAACAGTTTTGAGCTGTCTACACTGGCCCTTTTGCACAAAAACATTTCCAGAAAAGGGCTTTTGCCCGAACGGGAATGTCAAAGCATTTGCGCAAGGAGCACTGATTTCGGATAGGAGAACGTCAGTGCTTTTGCCAGTGTAGACAGCTGGCAAGTTTTTGCGCAAAAGCAGCTGCTTTTGCAGAAAAACTTGCCAGTCTAGATGCAGCCGCTGTGTATAAACCCAATACAGGTTAAACCTTGTGGTCTGGGACTCTCTCTGGTTCGGCAACACAGATGTTGCTGGACTAGAGAGGCCCAGCATGGAGGTTGCCAGTGGCTGGGAGCAGAGCCAGCCCGTGGGAAGGAGGGGAGCAGAGCGCACAGCTGATGGGGCCAGGAAGCCAGCACCGTGGCTGGAGTCCATGGAACAGGGGGCGAGTGAGCCTGTATCCAGGAGGGCCAGGAACGGCGGGCTGCAGAGCTCACAGCTGGAGGGGTTGCGAGCGCCCACAGGGCCGCCTCCGAAGCTCCCAGAGCTGGCGGGGCCACCAAAGCTCATGGGGCCATGGATCCTGCAGGGCTGCCATAGGCAGGGGGCCAGGGCAGCAGTGGTGACAGGAAGCAGGAGAGGGGAGCCCAGGGGAGAGGGTGGTGCCCCTCCCCCCAGAAAACTCACTTGTCCGGGACCGGTCAGGAGGAGCCGGCGCAGGGAGGTCCAACCTGCACAACATCTCAGAGTTTGGAAACCCAGAGCACAAGAAGCCCAGCCCAAGCGCTCTCCTCAGCCCTGGCTGTTCAGGAGGCTTTTCCTACAGACATCGTCTGCCCACGGACTTGGCTTCCTTTGCCTTAAAAGTGGTGCCCGCTCCTTACCCCAGGGCCACCCCCTCCTGGACGTGAAGGGTCCAAGTGGGCGGCCCTCTGCTATCCAGGCGCTGGCTGGACAGGAAGCTGGGATTCCATTCCCAATCCGCCTCGAAACGCTAGTGGTTGCTTGGAGGGTAAAGCCGGTCTGGCCCCACTCCTGACTTCCCCCTGCCCTGTGCATCTCTGGGAAGCAAAGCACGTCAGTTCCCCTGGTCCGCAGGCACCCCGAAGCAGCACTGGAGGGAGACGGCCACCCCACGCTACCTGCACAAAGACGGCCATCTGCAGCTCCTCCGTGGACTGCAGCGCGGCATCCACCAGCTTGGAGGACGACTCGATGTGTTCGCTGTACGACCTGGCGAGGGATTTCAGGTGCTGGGTCTTCTCCTCCTGCTCGTAGGTGATCCTCTGCAGCATGATCTTCCTCCTCTCCTCCAGGATGGCGTACATGCGATCAAACTTCTCACACAGCGCCTGCTTCTGGGCCTTGCTGTTCTCCTGCTCGAGGGAGGCAGAGCTCAGCTCCCTGAGCTTGGCTCAGACATCGGGCTGGGCAGCTGACTTGCGGGGCAAGGGGCATTAGGAGCACTGGCTCCTCTTCCCTTTGGGCTGAGCATTTCAAGCCAAAAGGCCCCTCGGCGCTAGGTCGGAGGCAGCACGACGTTGTCGTTCCAGCCAAGGTCTGGAGAGAGCGGAGTGAAAACTGGCATGTCCCTCCCAGGGGAAAGTCTGATACTTTGACCGTTGTGTACGTCGGGATGAAGTGGAAATGTCTGAACATTTCCCCAACTGAAACGTTCCAAAAAATGACCAATTTGGAAGCATCATTTCTGGAGTCCACTTCCTCCACCACGGTCAAATGACTCCCCTAATGCACCGTGCCGGCCAATCAGCAGAGACTACCGAGCATCCTGGGAGATGCAGTCCAGACAAGGAGTTTGCCCTGGGTGAGTGAATGAAAGCATCCAACAGCCAAACTACATCTCCCTTGAGGCTCTGCAGCGCTACGGGCAAATCCTGTCTAACGTTGCACTAACGCAGAACGAAACGTGTCCGCTCAGGTCACCAAACCAGAATACTTCCGGCGGGGGAAGGAGAGTGACATGAAATATTTCAAATGGTTTAGTCCAATGGGCCATTTAAAAAATGGAGTAAAACTAAAAACTAAAATAAAATCAGCACAACTCTTTGGCTTGGCTGAAACGGCTCATCCGTTTGTCCTGCATTCCTGAGCCCCTCTGGGCGTGGGGGTCAGCCAGACTCTGTGGGTCTAATCCCAGACCCACCACTGTGCGATCAAGAGTCAGCCCCGCAGCTTCCCAGCTTCCCCACATGCAATGGGGAGGGGGATAATGAACTTCTCCACCTCACAGGGAGGTGGGGAGGCTGAATTCATTCCTCTGGGGAGAGCCCTATGGCAGCCTCAGGTGGAAGGTACCGTACAAGGGCGGTTTTCACGGCCCAGCAGTGGGGGGTGGGATGTCGGGCGCTGGGTCTCTTTGCTGCCCGGGGATCAGGTGAGCAGTGGGGGGGCTAAGGCAGCTCCCTGCCTGTCCTGGCACCACAGACTGGGCTGTGCCCCAGAAGTGGCCAGCAGCAGGCCTGGCTCTTAGGTGTGTGGGGGGAAGGAGCACACAGGGCTCCGTGCACTGCCCCTGCCGTGAGCACCAGCTCCACACTCCCATGGGCTGGGACCCTGCTGCTGGTTGTGTCTGGGGGCAGCCTGGTCTGCGGTGCCAGGAGAGGCAGGAAGCTGCCTTAGCCCCCCTGCTGCACCACTGACCGGAAGCAGCTCAAGGTGAACCCCTCCTGCCCCAGCCCTGACCCCCCAAAGCCAGACCCCCCCTATGATGCCCCAAATCTCTCATCCTCAGCCCCTCCCCGGAGCCCACTCTCCAGTCACATGATGTTGAGTCTCAGCATCAACCATTTTCTCCAACTGGGTCATGAGAACCAAAGTCTGAAATCCGCTGCCTTAGAACAATAGCTGGGCACGTGGCATGGAAACGCAGCCCTGCAGCAGCCAGCCAGGGACACACTGTGCGCGGCATCGCGGCACAGCAAAACAATGTAGGAAGCCATCACAGCAAACTCCTGCCGGGGGCTTGTCAGTGTCCATGCCGAACAGACAGAGACATCGGCTCTCCAGGTCATCTTCAAATGCGGCCAACTGAAGGAGAGCACATCAGTGCCGCATAAGGGGCTTCCAAGCTCTCTGGGCCCAAGGAGCGGCCCCTCTCTAAGCTCAGCACTGGTTCCTGGGGCTCCCCCTCTCCCTCCCCAGAAAGGAACCTCAGGAACAGCCTATTGTACCTCAATGTTCTTGCACGTTCCTTGCAAGGTATCGATGAAGGCCTGGATTCGGTCATTGGTGGCAACAAGGGCTCCGATCCCATCGGTCAGTGCAACCTGGGCAGGGGAAGAAGGAAAGAGCGAGCTCAGATTTTACCACGCGGCACCAAGGACACAGCCAACGGCGTACAAGTCACCAGGACGAGATGAAGATGGTCCATGCTCCAAAGGGGCTACTGTCCAGGGCCACGCTTGTTTCATAGAACCCTAGAACTGGAAGGGACCTCGAGAGGTCATCAAGTCCAGTCCCCTGCCCTCATAGCGGGACCAAGCACCATCTAGACCAAACCATCCCTGACAGGTGTCTGTACAACCTGCTCTTAAATATCTCCAGTGATGGAGATTCCACAACCTCCCAGGGCAATTTATTCCAGTGGTTAACCACCCTGACAGGTAGGAAGTTTTTCCTAATGTCCAACCTCAACTTCCCTTGCTCCAGTTTGAGCCCATTGCTTCTTGTCCTGTCATCAGAGGCCAAGGAGAACAATTTTTCTCCCTCCTCCGTGTAACATCCTTTTAGATACTTGAAAACTGCTATCCTGTCCCTCTCAGTCTTCTCTTTTCTAAACTAAACAAGCCCAGGTCTTTCAGTCTTCCCTCCTAGCTCATGTTCTCTAGACCTTTCATCATTTTTGTTGCTCTTCTCTGGACCTTCTCCGGTTTCTCCCCATCTTTCCTGAAATGTGGTGCCCAGATCTGGACGCAATTGAGGCCTAATCAGCGCAGAGTAGAGCAGGAGAATGACTTCTCGGGTCTTGCTCACAGCACTCCCTTTGACTCATATTTAGCCACGGTCCACTCTGACCCCTAGATCCCTTTCTGCAGTATCTTTCCTAGACAGTCGCTTCCTGTTCTGTATGTGAAATGGATTGTTCCGTCCTAAGTGGAGCACTTCGCATTGGTCCTTATTAAACTGCATCCTGTTTACCTTAGACTGTTTCTCCAGCTCGTCCAGATCATTTTGAATGATGACCCTGTCCTCCAAAGCAGTTGCCACCCCTCCCAACTTGGTATCATCTGCAAACTTAATAAGCGAACTCTCTATGCCATCATCTGAATTGATGAAGATATTGAACAGAACGGGTCCCTGCGAAACCCCACTTGTTATACCCTTAGCCTTTGTTCCCCGCACTCATGCCTGCCATGGAAGGCAAACATCCCTTTTTCACAGACCAGACGGCATGGCTTCATGCTGTCACCATTGCTGGTGTGTCCCTAACATCTCTCCCAGGGGGTGCTGGGTAAATAAAACATCATAAGCAGCTTCAGTCGCTTCCTGCCCCATCCCAAGTCTCATTTATGTCTCTGCTCATCTGGAGGCAGCCCTTCCCGCCTCACAGACGTCCCCTCTCCCTGCAACATAGAGTCTGGCTTTGAATTTCCCGCACCCGAGCGCAAGACAGAGTCAGGGAACTGGGAGCCCTGCGGCTTCCAATCCCGGACACAATCCCTTGCAACAAACCCCGTTGCCAACTTTGTCCACATATTTACTCTGGTGACACCATCACTGGACCTAACCATGTCAGTTATACCATCAAGGACACATATTCCTGTTCGTCCAGAAATGTAATTTATGCCATCGTGTGCCAACAGTGTCCTTCTGCTACGTATATTGGACAGACTTCTCAGACACTTCGCCAAAGGATTAATCCCCACAAATCAGACAACAGACATCTTCACAAGGAAAAACCTATCAGTTTACATTTCAACCTACCTGGACATAGTCTTAACGACCTTACTACACGCATCTTTCTTCAAAGAGACTTTAACACTAGATTACAGAGGGAAACTTCAGAACTTTCATTCATGCTTAAATTTGACACTTTATGAATGGGCCTTAACAAAGATGCTAATTACCTTACACATTATGGCTGTGTCTGGATTGGCATGATTTTCCGGAAATGCTTTTAACGGAAAAGTTTTCCGTTAAAAGCATTTTTGGAACAGAGCATCTAGATTGGCACAGACGCTTTTCCTCAAGAGTGCTTTTTGCAGAAAAGCGTCCGTGCCAATCTAGATGCGCTTTTGCGCAAAAAAGCCCCGATCGCCATTTTAGCCACTGGGGCTTTTTCATGGAAAACAGCATTGTACTGTCTACACTGGCCCTCTTGCGCAAATGATTTGTGCAAGAGGGCTTTTGCCCGAATGGGAGCAGCACAGGATTTCCACAAGAACACTGACAATCTTACATGAGATCGTCAGTGTTCTTGCGGAAATTCAAGCGGCCAGTGTAGACAGCTGGCAAGTTTTTCTGCAAAAGCAGATGATTTTGCGGAAAAACTTGCCAGTCTAGACACAGCCCTCGTGAGGACTTGTTTTCTTCCACAAAAGGCAAAGGGCTTTGAGTTCCTCAGGCAGAAGGTGCAAGCTGGTCTATTGTGGGCACCCCACCCCCACTCCTCCTTCCTCCCTCACCCCCAGGGACCTCTGGTCTGGTGTAGTTGCATGTCCTGTGTAGTTCCTAGGCACCGGTGGAGAAATTAACAGTCCCATTGAACTCAGACCTGTAGGCATTTGGATTGTCCTCTTCGGAGGACAGGACCTGCCCTGGAGGCAGAGGGAGAGCCGCTGCTATGAAGGCATCATCCAACCCTTCCTTCTCACAGCCTGTCGCAGGCCCGGGGGGGATACACGGCTGCGGGAACGAGATGCCCAACTCTGCCCCCGCCACCCTCGGAGCGACGAGCCAGGTCCCCGGCCCCCAGTGAGCAGCACCCCCGGGAGACGCCCACCTTCTGTTTCATGTACTCCTTGTGCTCCCCGAAGACCTTGCAGAGGGAGCAGGTGGGCACCCTGCAGGTCACGCAGTAGATGTTGATCTTCTCTTCCTCGTGCTCTTCGCAGCTCGGGTGCTCGGTCTTGAGCAAAGGCCGGGAGCTACGCGCAGAGAGGGAGACAGTGAGGGGGAGGCGGGGAAGCCAAGATGGGCTTTTATTGCCTCTTCTTGCCCCTCCTGGTGCTGCGACTGGAAGCCCAACAGGGCAGATGCGACGGGCTGAAACGCCCCTGCTGAGACCCAGGGCCAGGGAAACCCGCCAGTTGCAAAGCCAGGCGAGGAGGGGCTGGCACCACTACCCCCGTTTCCTTCCTCCCCACACTAGCGGGAGCAGGAAGTCAACAGGCTCCTATTCCCGCGGGTGGGTCATCCATGGAGGGGTTTGCTAAGCAGAGGGGAGGGGAAGCCGGGGCGCCCTGGGCGCAGCGCCAGCAAGTAGCCAGCTGACTGGGGCACTCGGCTGCAGTGGGAGGGGCAGTGCGATCCAGCCGGGCCCCACGGGCTTCCTGCAGGCTGCTGAAAGGGGCTGGCTGGGTCCTTC